CAATCTCCATGTATCCTCTTGCCGATAAATAACTTGTATCAACCATCACAAAAACCTAGACTTGATGTTCTGGCGTTCGTCCCCCCATGATATTTTTGCTTGTGAAAAAACGATCTTTCATCAATTTGGCATATAATGCCAGGACCACTAAGGAAAATCGGATTTCTAGTAAAAAACTCTACACATGCATTTCTAAAACTTCTGCACATGTCAGCTACCATATTGTGTCCTAGTCTCGCCAAAACGCCAATATTTTTATGCGAAGTGTTTATGCTCCAAAGGTAAATGGAGTATACTCTCATTTGTAAATCAATTCGTGTTTTCTCAAAAAACGAATTGTTTCTGATTGAAAGTGTAGTTCTAAACTTAAGACATTGTTTGTTTCCGCACTTCCAAACAAATTTGTCTTTGATCTTACTGCAAGCTAGCCGATATATATCTCTAGAGTAATAAACAAAACACATGCTTCTTTTAGTTAATCCTTTGGACTTGAGAAAGTTAATAGAACAATTTATATCAGTACCAATAATTGGCAAAATTGTCTTCTGAAAAAAATTTCTTCTCATATAAATAAGGGTAAAAAAATAAAAAAAAGTTATACTGCGGTTATTTCCCCCCGGGGGGGGGAAATAACCGCACTGATCCTACATCACTTTATGTGTTGTGATGAATTTTTACATTATTTGGGTCAACAAAATGCAAATGGTGATTTACTACCGAGTGGTTATATACAAGCACACTTAAGTCAACATAACCATGCCAGCTGTCTGTCATGGTTTTTGTTCCAACATCAAGACTGTCTAAAACAAAACGTTCACAGATGGGCTTTGTTTATCGTCTTACAATTTAAATTGCGATTAGTTATGTTATACGACTAATACGGCCGATAGGCGGATCACTTTTGCCTGCCAATAATCTCTCACGACCATCGTGCCGAGAACAAATTTGCATTTCATGTCCTAATTTTGAAAACCACAAAGATGAATTTGTGGATCAATTTTGTATCAAATGCATTAACAATTCAATACACTTATTTTTCTTCGGTTTCGCATTCATTGACGATGTCTATCACCTTTACCCCCAAATGGTGAAGGCATATAATTTGCAGCACGGTGTATAGTTTTGTTTTTACACAATGAAGAATTGTATCTGCATAAAAAGAATCCGTCTTTCTGAATTAACGCTGATTACGACGAATTGGTCGTTATGGCACTGGGGCTCACTTCCGGATAATTATATTTTTTTAATTCATTACCCAGGAATGGGCCCTAATTTGAGAATTTTTTAATTCATAAATTTATGATTTTTTTAGAAGAATCAAATGGAATAAGATTTCGATTTTTATAAACTTAAAAGATTCAATAGAGTGATATGATTTTTATAAATCTTTTAATATTAATAAGATGTGTGATAAGTGTGGGTCAGAAACGCGAATAGAGCATAATGAAACCCATGTAAATTTTCATCAGTTAAGCGGATCTTCTCCACGAATTTGCCTACCTTTTTTTTCAGTCTAAAAATAGGGGCTAAAAAAATAAAAAAAAGATAATAAGTCAAAAAATCAATAGGCACAGCAAACTAGTAGGCAAATTCGTGAAGTTAATCAACCATATCGATATTTTTGTATAATTCGATTGCATTCAAAAAATTGATGTTGTTGTTTTTAATCCCCAAAATATCAGTAACCTAATACTACCTAACCCCATTACCATCTAACCAAACCACCTACTCCAACTATCTAACCATCATCATTTAAATCCAACCACCCAATCTAACGATATCTAACCCAATATTACCCAACTTAATACATTACCATATTTGTCTGTATTCATAAATACAAAAAGTTGTTTTAATTAAATAACAAAGGCACAAATAAAACGAAATAGCCACAAAAATTATTTAATAAAATTTTATATCCTTAAATAAATATTACCCTTAATTATGAACGATATCCACATGAAGCAATACAAAAAACGAGTCGTCGGGAGAGGACTGCAGTCAGGTGGCTGGAAGAATATTGAATGAAGCTGACATTATTATTTATTGATTGATGTTAGAAGGAGTTGATAAGAGTGAATGGAAAAAGAAAATATTTGGGAAAGGATCAGAAGGATTAAAAAATTTTATGGTGAGGAATTTGAGTTTAGATGAAGAAGATTTGAGAAGGAAAATATTAGAACTAATAAAAAAAGAAGAAGAAAACGAAAGAATGGAAAGAGAAAAAAAGGAGACGATTGAGACCATAGGAAACACGATAAAGAGCACCACGAGAAAAGGGGTTCTTCGATGATGAGAGTGTTGCGATGTTTTTGCGGCAATAAGCGTGGACATATTGCTAGAGATTGTTTCAGTAAGAAAGTGAAGGATAGATATTTAAATAAAGACGTTAATAAGTGTTTGATTTTAATGACAATTGTTTGGACTCAGATTCGAATAAAGAGTATACACCTACAAAAAACAAGTGTAGATTTAAGATAAACAAGGAAAATAAAGAGATAAAAAGAGGCGATGGGTGTAAGAGATATAAAACGTGTATTGAAAACTTAAGACATAAATATGAGAAGGTTTTTAGTTATGGGGGAGATATAACTTATTGTAGGCTAGAAAGGTGTAGAATAATTACAGAACCAGGAAAGAAAATGATTAAAGGAGGCCAAATAATGCCTCGGGCGTTAGTAAAGAAAATAGTAAATTATTTAGAGGATTTAGAGAAAAGGAAGATGATTAAAAAATCAACATCGGAATGGAGAAATCTTATAAGAGCAATAGAAGAGTTTAATGGAGATATCATATTGGTTAATAACTCAATAGCTTTAAACAGCATTTTAGAAAAAGATGAATATAGGCCTTTAAATGTAAGAGAAATTATCCGAGCTACTCAAGAAGCTGGGGTTATGGCCGTATTTGATTTAAAAGAACGATTTTATTACGTAGAAATTGCGGGGGACGATACGTTTAAGATGGCCTTTGAATCCAATGGGAGACTATATGAATGGAACAGCAAGGTTATGGGGTTTAAAAATTTTCCTCGGATTTTGCAAAGAATAATGGATAGGACGTTTTTGGATTTAAAAGGTAGGGGAGTAGACAGACACATACATGGATGATAAAGTTATATACAGCGAAAGCTATGAAAAGCATGAAACGTTAGTAGAAAAGTATTTAAGAGATTTAAAGATAATAATATGCGAAAAAAAACATTAGTAAAACACAATTTGCTCAAGAAGAAGTTAAACTTTTAGGGGCCACTTTAAATGGGAAAGAAATTAAATCGCCCGAAATAAAGAAAAACGAGGCATTAGAATTTCCTAATCCACAGTGCGTTTTTGATGTTAGCCAAATATAAGTAGTAATTTGTTGGGCAACTTGATTAAAAATTTGTAAATAAAAACTCAACTGTTAATTTAAATCATTGGAAAGGATACAACAAGGTTTGGAATTATATTAATACTCATATGACGGTCAATCATTCTAAGTTTTTGTCGACACGGTTACTGATTTTCGTACAAATACAATAGAGGGAACTTAAGCAGTTGTACAATATCAGGTACCAGTTAGATGCAAAACTAAAAAACCTATTTTGCCTTATTTATTACATTTTATGTTAAATAGAAATTTTAATTGTATGTCTTTTGACAATTTATAAAAATTATTACTTTTTTCTTTTTTTGAAATTTTAAAAACAGGGGCAAAAAATAAAATAATTTATATTAACCAGGTGGGGTGTATAAAAAATATTCCTAATATTAAAACTCTCTTTAAAATGGGGACATTTCATGATGGAATCCCCATATGTCTAGGTATCTTATATGACTGCGATATACAATGAAATAAATATGGGCCTGTGAGCATATCCAATGATACATATACCGTAGTGATCATAAAAACGCAATCCTTATAAAACTATGTAGTATTTTATTAAGACAATATTAGCTTACAAACTATATAGGGATCTGGTCTAATATCTGCCCTAAAAGGGCAGATATTAGACCAGATTTATTTTTTATATTTTTTACCCCTTAAATGAGAAGACAACAAACAAGATTTGAACGGTTGATGAGAATTCGTCAAATGAATACTGAAAATGTCATTAATATTCTACGATCTAAAAATTTATTGCTTTCTTATTTAGAATGTGAAGCATG